ACTTTAATAACAACCTGAACCAGACATCGCTGGGAAGGAAACCAGAGAAGCCATTCCAAAGCCAAGTGAAAAATAACTTTCAGGAGTACATACTTTATGATTCAATTTATACGAAACCCTAGGAAAGACAAATCTAATCTATAGTGACAATAAGCAGACTGGTGGTTGCCTGGGGCCATCGTAGGAGCAGATTGACAGAGATATGACACACGGTAACTTTTTGGGATGCTGGAAATATGCAATGTTTTGCTTGTGGTGATGGTCATAAAATTGTAAAAACCTATTAAAATGTACAATTAGGGACCAGCAGTTAGCGTAATGGCTATGTCGCTGGATTCCCACGTAGTGTAGTCAACTGCAGTTCAAGTTCCAACCTGGTGACTTAAACTCACGCTGGGCGTGTGTGCATGCGTGCCCAAGATCCTGAGAGGAGAATAGAAGAGAAGAGATTGCGGCATGGCCATCCCCCCTGGGGGGTGATTTCTCGCTTTCTGTCTCTCTTTCTCTGTCTGTCTGGCGAGCGCACGCGCCCTATAGCAAAAACCTCTCCGGAAAAAAAAAAAATGTACAATTAAAGTGATCGTAGGGCCAGCCAGCGGTGTGGTGGTTAAGGCAGCTAGATTCCACAGGGATGACCATGCTGTTAGAGTCCTGGACCCCACAGCTGGGCACAAGTTTGTATATTCCCAACGTCACAAAAGGAGAATGGAAAAGAGATTGTGGCATGACTGTCCTCCATGGGGTTGATTATTCACTTTCCCTCTCTCTCTTTGACTCTGTCTGGTGAGTGCACACACCCTCTAGAAAAAAAAATTAAAGGGTGTAAATTATACCTTTATTTTAAAAAATGTATATGCTGTACACTCACACTCCTCTTCCTCTCCATTAGCACAGACAATGGAGAGCTGAGGATACATCTTGGAATGCTCTTCAATACTAGGCTGTTCCATCAGCCTATGCCATGTGTCTATAAGCGGCACGAATAACCTAAAACAGTGTATAAAACAGCTAAGCAGTTATAATAAATGTGGGACATTCCTTGAGTAAACCTGACGAACAGGGACAGGGGAGCAGGCAGCCAAGAAATGTGGTAGGAGAAGCCAGATTAAACCATTACAAGGAGGAGACAGCAAAAGGGTGACTGACCACACAGATAGTAAAGAATTGTTGACGTTGTGATGTGAACTATGCATTGTATTAAAGTGCAAAGGGATTGGTGAGACAGAGCAGATGCTCATTAGAAATCAAGCCAACCACACGAATGGTCTTGGAATCTGAACAGAAGGTCTTCATCCACTTCATCTTTTTCATATCTTTAATTAAAATTTTGATATCACTTAAGCCAGGCACCGTGCCCTATTTATTCTGACATCCAAACATCCCTTTTAAAGTTGGCTAGGCTCATCCAGAAGATGATGTAACTAGATTAAGAGATGGAGCTAAAATTTTCAACAGAGATTTTTGTCTCTGATGTGTGACCTTCTGGAAAGTCACTATTTTATTTATATATTTGCTTACTTGTTCACTGAAATGACTGAGTTCCTACTATAAACCAGGCTCTATGTAAGCCACTGGAGATGCATTGCTCTATGCTTCATCTCTCTCCTTTGTAAATATCTTTACGGGATCCTCACGCCATCCTATCCACTATGCCAGACTCTGGGAAGCTCAATGCTGCGCCTCAATGATAACGTTGCTGAGGAGGTAGAGGGAAGATAGAGTCTTCAACTTCCAGTCTGTATCTTTGCAGATGGTAGCTCCAGACCACTTAAAGCATCTTTGCCATAGAAATGCCAGGGAAATGAAATTAACATCTTAGTTTTGTTTGTTGGAAAAGGCCCTTAGAAAGCCTTCTAAGGAAGTGATTAAATGTAATTTTAAAAAAGAAAAAGAAAATGAACCATAAAAACTGGAAAAAAAATTAAAGCCTTTTAAGACAGTTTTAAAATTAATTCCTTTTTCCTTGAAATCACAGACTCCCGTATAGTTATAAATTAACATATGATCTAGTGCAGGGCAATAGATTAGCTTTTCCCCTTGATTTTCAGGCTTCTCTGTCCTACTCCTACCTCTTCGCAAACAAATTTAGAAGTCCATTCTCCTCATGAAGTCCTCCTCACACTTATTTTCAAACATCCAAGATCTATGCGTTCTTTTCAAGCATACACAATCTGTTACCTTTTAGATATTCAAACCAACTCAGAAAAGAGTCTGAAAAGAGCAAGATTCAAATTCTGTTCTGCCTATTTATAATGTGTGCCTCAGGGAAAGTTCCCTAACCTCTTTGTGCCTCAGTTTTTTTTCATCTGGAAGTGTGTGTGTGGGGGTAACAATATATAATTTGAGTTTTTAAAAAGATAATGAACATAATAATACATAGCATGGTGTCTAGACAGTAGTAGAAACCAATGGTAGTTGTTCCTAAAGTCTAGCAGAGATGGAGGTTGGAGAATGAAGATTAAAAAGTCCACCACACAGTTAAGGTGTTCCACTGATTCTTAGAAGGACAAATCAGAACCTTCAGCCTTTGCTGAGTGGGTAGCTACTGTGGGGGAATAAGACTGTTAGATGATTAAACTCAAGAGTAAATACTATCCATCTGGGATAATACAAACCATTCTAAGAGGGGGGAAAAGTCACCTGTAGGCTCTTAGCCCAAATACAGAAGGGTTTTTTAATCTTTAACCTACCATCCAGCTATAAGAGGAATGCATATGGAATAATGATGAAGACAAAGTCATGCCCCAGCCAGCTGTGACGGTCATATTAGCAGATGTCACAGTTACTTTGTACATGTTCCAGCAGCAAAGCCAAACCAGGTCTTCAGCTTTATCCCCATTCCTTGCAAGAGAAGAGCCTTTATACAACTAGATGTGTTCTGGGTTTTCCTCATTGAGAATTTTAACCCTTGTTTATATTGTTACTATGATAATTTAATATGTACGCACATTTATTTTTACCTGCTTTTTTTTCTTTTCAGTTAAAATTCTTTATACCGTACTTATTTGTTAAAATAAAGATTCTTACTTTCTCACATTTCCCCAGGAAAAATGGACATTTCCTAGCCCTTTCCAAAGAAGGTACTGTTCCACCCGCTAGGTCAAAATCAGTGTCACAAAGGGGGCTGAGAATCTGAAGATGGAGCATACTTGCTGATCCAAAAACAACAGACTACTGGCTCAGGCTGTGATTGAAGTTAGAATTTATAGCTGGCAGAACAATGACCACATTCATGAATTGAACTTCTGCTTATTCTCTTCTTCCAAAATACTTTATCTTCCTTCCATTTATATGCCCAAGTGTGCTATGAGATTTGTGGTATTAACACCATTAAGTGTTAGATGTGATTATGGAGTAATACAATCTAACATGAAGGACTTGAAACTATAGTTAAAGAATATGAACCTATTTGTAATAACTAGGAGGCCCAAATAAAAACTCTTTAGATTGTAGAGTTCCACACAGGAAGAGCCCACATCTATTTTTCTTTCCCATTGCTTTATGTCCAGTATCAAGCACAGAATTTCTGGTGCAAACATCCATCCTGGTTTGTTGGGTACTCTCCTGGCTTTAACAATGAAAATTCCTGTATCTCCGGAAACCCATCAGTCACAGCAAACTCAGAGTGGTTGGTCACCCTAGGCTTGGCACATAATAGATAGTTAATAAATTTTTGTCAACCAAGAGAAATACATTAAATAAACAGAAGTGTAATTGAAATTATAATGCAATAAATTGGCTTAACTGCTTGATAGTCACCGACTTCTAACAGATAGTGATTTGAGGTCGGGTTTGATGAAACCAACATCC